GTCTTGTGGGCCACAAGGGCCGGCCCACTGGCCTATTTTTCTCCCAGAGGGAGGAGAAGGGTCAAACCCCTTACATGGGTGCCAAGAGGGTGGTACATAGACCCTCTTGAGTTGCTTATTGTTGTAATGTCAAGTCAGCAATACCTTCTGCTTTGTTTAGAAGGTTACAGACCCTTTTGAGTTTAATGGGCCGTAATGTGTTTAAAATCCAACCAGCCTCTCTATAAAAGCCCAAACTATTGTAGAAATTGATAACCAAGAAACCAACGAAATGGAACATTGTTCTAAACATTTTAAAAACAAATTGGATGTAACGAATAGGGTCAATTTGGTTAATAACTTAAAAAAAATTAAATATAATAATTAATCAAAAATCGTAAAACTAATGGTTCCGATTTATTAATTATGTTTTCATTTTTTTTTTTTTGTTATACTTGTCAATTTTCCTAACGAATATGGAATTATGTTTTCAATATAAATTTGAAGTTTAAAAAAAAAAGACAGATGGTCGCCAGATAGATAATTTGTTTTTTTCTTTGCCGAGTAATAATTATATATACCATATACTTAACATATAGCTATACCATATATCTATTTTGTATGGGAAAATGAATCATATTACCCACATAAATCAAGATGGAATAAATATCCGTAAATGATATAATGATCAAAGCAATGGGACCATATTGTTTATGAAATCACACGGAAACAACATCGGTGGACTCTAAATTGATTGGTACCACCACGTCGGTGTAAACAACATCCACATGTTTAAACCCCCTTTGATAACATCCATACATTTCTCCCTGACAATTCCAAACAGATTTTACAATCAAATAAATTAGTTGTGGTTGGAAATTTGTTATGTTCGTACGTAAAGTTTGAGTGAGATATCATATTTTGGCGTTAATTTTGATGTGAAACGAACCAAACCATGGGTCATTTGTAAATAAAGTAACAAAATATGTCAAATCATTTCACATGTGTTTTAAACACCTCTCATACAAATAACTAACTAACGGTGATATAATTTTCTCTAATATAAGTGCCCAACCATATTTTTCGCTCACATGTTTTATTTTTGGTTTATAAAAATAGCAAAATTGAACTTAAACTCTTAATCATTTTCTTAGGTTTTTAATTTGGCTACGGTTTGTTTAGTACTTAAATAAAGTGCAAACATAATCCATAAACAACACATGATAATGACTATTGAGGAGACTGTGTTGTTTTCGATTCATATTTAACACTCTTACCAAAAGAAGAAGAAGGAGAGCAAAAATAAAACAAAAAAGTAAGGAATGCTAAAAAATGGCAGAGGATTTATGTAGATCTTCAAGCATCTAATCATAGATCGATCTTCAAGAACAGAATCTTCAGAGCAAGAAGAAAATCTATTACCAAATTATGCTTCTAACTCCATATCCAAGACAAATCTATTACCAAATTATGCTTCTAACTCCATATCCAAGACTTCCATCTCCATTATTAGCTGCCAAGTCTACTTATGAGTCATCATTGTCCAGAAGAGCCAGAG